ACTTACTGACATAAATTCATGAAATAGCAGTTCAATAAAATTTTGAATGCGAGTCAACAAACGTGATGACATAGCCTTTCACCCATGACCCGTCTGGAATGGGTTAATAGATTACATTCAACTAATTGATTATTATCTCAAGATGGCTAAAAAAAAAAACTATAATGCTACAAATACTTTCACAATGCAAAATGAAAGGAACGATTTCAGAACCCGTAAAAAACAAACTCTTAAACCTATATATTTACTCTGTTAGTACATGACAGTCTAATTCTTGCTCTGTCTAATCATATTTAAAATATCTTTTTCCCTGCTTTCAAAGCTTTGTTTGATTAGTAAGTGATCAAACCACATGATGTGGCACTGTATCATTGTTTGAATCAAGCCCTGTAAAAACCAAAGGAAACACTTGAAAATCAAAAAATCAGCACAATTTGACAAAGTGATACAGGATGACATGAGGAAGGTCATAAGGCATCTAATTTTTTTAAAAACAGTATCTCTTTCTTTCCATTATTGATACATGTATGTATTTTTATTGCAATTTTAATGTTTATTATATTAAAAAAAATAAAGTATCACAATCTCCTACATTTTGTTACAAACAAGTTTTAATTCACCCATTCAATGGTCAGGTGATCCGACTAGTGAATAATATATTTTCAGTAAAAATAGTTATTATTTGGGATGAGTGGTAAAATTCAAGTAAAAATCAACAAGTTGTTTGGATTACAGGAAAACTTTTTTGCAGCTGTGCAGAAGTTAAAATATTAATATTTTTCTTCATGAATTAAACTAAACAAGTGTCTGAATATGACAAAATATAAATTTTAAAATATTTTTGAGTTAAAATTGCTTAAAACTTAGAACTACCATACAAAATTGCCTTAAACATTTGTAGCCAAAATATGTGAAAAGCTAGAGGAAGTCTTGTCTTCAGGTGAAATAATTGAAAGTAATTTAGTTATTTTGATCGTCCTAGACTGTTGTACATGAAAGTACCATACATGCAAAGTTGTACGAAACTTGTAAACAACTGAAAATAATATGATTAATATAGTTTCATAGGATTCTTCTTACAAACTTTGACAAGACTATTATATTAAAAATACTGAATTTTTGTTGATGAAAACAAACGTTATAACTTTGTGGCACTTTAAAACAATAAATTTGTATATAAAGTTAATAAGCTTTATCACTCTAAAAACATCAACAATAAAATATTTTTAAAAATGACTAGTTTTAGTTGTAAGTCTATATCGTGTAATTTAGATAAATACTTTTTTCATTGTTGCAAGTAAAATAATTTTTCAAAATCATTAAATAATATTTGACAACAATACTGATGTTTATAAATAAAAAAAAAGATAAAATAGAGAAATGTCAAAGATTTCATTTTTTGTACTTATAACCACACACAAGTAACTTTAAGTATCTAAAAAAAGCCAAGGCACAAAAATTTACCATGGCAACTTTTAATTGACATTCACATTGTCGTACTTGTTTAGAAATAATCAGTTATTGGTTGATGTCATAACCAGATTGTTGTAGACTTCAGCTGTGTTGACTTCAGAAAAAAATTGAGAAAAGCTTTTACAGTATTTAATAGACCAATCAAATAAAACACCGACATTTAATATTTCTCTTCGATACTATTGGCTGTTTCTTATTAATTTCTGAAAAGAAAAATAGAAGGGGTTCAGAACCCCTAAATCTATGCCAGCTTACACAACATTAAATAATACAGTTATAAATTCTGAAAAAAAATGTGTAGTTCACCCCCTGAGCCCCTTCAGTAGATTCACACCTGTTTATACAACTGTTTATACAGTTAATTTCTGGTACAAATATGGAATGGAATCTAAATCCCCTGGGCCTATCCCCCAGATCTGCCCCTGCTTATAAAACATTAAAGAATAGTTATGCAATTATAAATTACAAACATAACACTGTTAAAACAAAGCAGTAAATTTACACCTTATTTAGTACTTAAGTAGCCAGAGAGTTGGCAGTGGTGCTACCAGCTATTTGCCTTCCCTATAGTCAATAATTGAAAAGAAGTGACAGTAGCAGATAGCCTTAGTAGCTTTGATTTCACAAAGACTTGGCAAGGAATTTTAGTGGTAATGGGAATTAAAGCCAAGACCCTCAAATCACAAAGTGCCCCCATACACACATCTGTTGTGTCTGTTTATTTGTAATTAAGCACAAAGTTACACAATGGGCTATCTGTACTGTGTACACCATGGTTATGAAAACTTGATTTTTAGCATTATAAGCCTTCAGACTTACTGCTGAATCACTGGGAAGGGGTGTTCATTATGTAGCATTGCGCATAACAACAAACAAACATAATAGCAGTATTTCAAATACTTGATATTCGGAAAAATCTAACACAGTAAATAATCAAAAACCCTCATTTTTATTAGTTGGTTATTTTCGTGACAATTGATTTAATTGTAATTTTGATTAATCAAATATTGAAATAATCAAAATCAGTAGTAGTCTGAAACATTAATTTTGATTAATTGATTATTTTTCGTGACATTAATTGATTAATCATAATTTTGATTAATCGATTAGATTATGGGACACTAATCAATGAAGCTGCTGCTTAAAAGTAATAATTATATATATTAATAAATTAAATTACCCAGCTCTACTTGATGGGTGGAATAATCAAAAACAGCAATAATCAGAAACACTAGTTGATTATTTTTGTGACATTAATTTAATCATAATTTCAATTATTTAAATGATACACTATATAATGTAATCAATGCTTACAGGTAATTAATTATATCAATTAATCATCCAGCTCTACACATGAATGGTGAAAGTGTTTATAGCCTTGTATTATTGTTTATATGAAAGGAGTTTTAATGTTGAAATTTATTCATCCTATACCTGTTGATGCATATTCATTTATTATGCATGTTATTATGGTTTTTGTGATAGTGTACTATTTATAAATATGTTTAGTGATTTAAGTATCTGATGTTATGTATATTGTTTAATTTATCAATATTTTTCATTCTGAAATTATGATTTCCAAAATGTCCTATTAGTTCAAATTACTTAGAAAAGATATATTAATGATGTTTTAAAGATTTAGAAGTTTTTGAAAGACTTTACTTAAAACTGCAGACAAAAACAGATTGCATGTTACTTCTTCAAACGAATGAATACAATATAATTTGGTTCTTAATTTTTAAAAATTTACACCAGCTAACTTTAATTTCTGATCCAATAAATACTAAATGTCTTAACAAAACAAGATTTAAATTAAAGTATAAATGGAAGTACAAAGAAACCTAAGAAAAATAAGGAAATGTGGTAGTAAATTTGAAGTAAGTTGTTTCAAGATTGTATTTTATATATTTTTATCATGTTACTGAAATTAAAACAAAAAATTTAAGTTAAAACATGGAAAGTGTGCCTACAGTTTTAGAAGATCCTACACAGGTTATTTACATTTTTTCAGATTATCAGCTGAAAAAGGGATAATATAATGAAGTTTAAAATATTCATTACTCCTACGAAATTGGATTATGTAGAATATTTCATGAATTTTTAACAATTATTACACAAGTTAAAACACACATTCAAGAACAAAGTAATGTTAATTTTGATAATATAATTACTGGAATTTCAGGTTTAGCTCTTTCATAGTTTTGACCCTTAGAAGTTGCAAAAACTTATCTAAAGAAGAATTTAGGCTATAAAACATCTCAGTTCATTGGATAATTTAGCAATTCTTAAACCTAATAAAGATAATGGTATAGTTACTTTGAATAAGAGATATTTTATAGTAAAAACTTTAGCTATTTTGAAAATCTAAATCTAGGAAACTAAAGTCTGATCCTACAGCTTTGAGAGAGACATTTACAAATTTATCTTTTAAAATTAAAAAATGGACTAAAATCTGAAATAATTTCTAATAAAATCAGACTAGCTGTTTTGCATTATGGAATATTCTATATGGGTTATCATATTTTAAATTATAAGTATAATTTTGAAAGGAATAACCTTAACAGTGTCATGGAAGAAAAAGATCTGTATGCTTTGGTTAATCAACCTCTTAAGACATCCAAGCAAGGTGCTGTTGCTAATGTTAGTCCAAATAGGATCTTAGATTGTTTTTACAGAAAAAAAAAGAATACAAATCTAAAAGAGGTTATAATTTCAATGTATATGTCATTGGTTAGACTTCTGTTGGAGTACTGTTCTGTCTTCGGTTCCTTATGTTATGAAGGATGCTACTCTGTTGGAAGGTGTTCAAATGGGTAGTACTAGGATGGCACCTGGCATGAAAAAGTTGTCATACAAGGCAAAAAGTTAAGATTTAGAGGGGATCTGATTGAGGTGCTTAAGATTGTTAAGGGGACTGACAGTGTCAATGCATCATCTTTTATTGTACTTAATGGTGAGAATGGTAGGACAGGATAAACGAATATAAGTTTTGGCAAGATAGGAGTCATCTTCAGCTAAGAGAATTTTACTTTTTTATTTCTCACAGGGTGGTTGGCCCTTGGAATGGGTTGCCTTCAGATGTAGTGGATGCAGTAAATTTAATGGAATGCTTGATAAGCATTTAAATGATAAGTGCTGGACTTGAGTTCTTTTATTTTTATCTGTTTGTTTTGTTTATTTACTGTTTAACGGTTGGCACAGCCTAGATAAACCAATAGGTCCCTCGTTATCCTTAAATATTATAATAATTATACTACAGCAATAGATTATATTTATAGAGAACTTAACGACTTATGTTTAGCCTTAGGCCCTTTTTTAAAAAAAAAACCTCCAATATATGGTTACAATTTACTGTTAGTGAGTCACTTGCAATTTAACTTACACCAACTAAGTTACACTCAAGTTGAGTCTCAAATTACTAATTTACAGTTAGGCTGGCCAAACAAAATAATTTCAGCTATACTATAGTATATACTAAGTCACTAATTAAATTAATTGCTAAACAAAAAATTTTGGAAGATAAATACCTTTACCGGCTCTTGAACTATCATTGTTGGCTAACATATAATTTATCCTTTTCAGTTTCAGTTTGCAAAAAACATCATTTCTCTACTTTTCCTTACGTCCGATACCAATTATATCACTTTAAAGTTTCAAATAATAAAGGATAAGTAGGCCTAACGTCACGGAGGGTAAAAACACTCTACTTCGCTGCCACTCAACGGATAAAAATGAAGTCAAAGAAAAAAACATTTTGGAATATATTCTGAAAATACAATGATTTAAACAAAAAGGGAAAATATACAAGTAGCAAAATTACTTTCTAGTTATTGCGTAAACTACAAATCTAAATATTTTGAGTTTTACATTAGTGACCATAAACAATGTGTAAAACAATATATATGGTTATATACCTATAAACTATGTAACTAAAGTCATATCGAATTAATGTAACGGCTACAGTTTTTTCCAGTTGGTAAGCGCGGTTTTATAAAAGTTTTGTGTTTGTTTATTGTTAAGCACAATTTTATACATTAGGCCATCTTGGCTCTGCCAACCACAGGCATCAAACCCAATTTTTAGCGTTATAAACCCCCAGACTGGCTGCTAAACCACCAGTATGCGTTTTATATGAATAGAAAAAATATGTTAATTACAAAAAACATTGTACCTAATTGTTTTCTACTTGTGACATATTTGTCACATATAAATATAGCCATGCAACGTTTCGACTCGTTTGTTTAGATTATCATCATATTCAGGTTCTTCCCGCATCATTAATGAGGTATTGGGTAACCCAATACTTCCACTAGGGATTATATTGTGCTATTTTTGTAGCAGAAATATATCGACTGGTGGGTTGCCAGCCCTCTACAGCTTCAAAGCCTATGTTATCCACCATTGTTCGGGGGTCTTGTTGGATTTGTTCAACTCGCGTAACGCCCAACGTGATACTTCGACAATTCCTTCATCACTGATGGCATAAGAAAATTACGATAATTAGGCGCAACAGAAAATACAAGATCAAAGGATGTTCTAATCGCATGAAGCAAGAACAACAATAAAACTAACCAATAATATTATTCACTATTTCGAAACAGTATCAATTGAGGAGAGGAAATAAAATTAAAAACATTTACTTTGTTATTAAGTGAAAATTATATTTATGAAGTTATTTATTTACAAAATAATGTTATCACAAATGTTGCTTTAGAACAGATTAAGTGTGTAAGAAGACTGTATTATATTTAAAGCAGGGGATATTTGTTTTATGAGTACACTTTCTTTGATTAACAGTAATTAATTATCCATATAGTAAAGAACAACCATTTTATATTTAATGTAAAACTATATGAACATATCAATGATGTGGCTATGGAGTTATCACTAGGACAAACTCACGGTTGAAAAACTGCCCAGAGAAATTTAAACCAGTATTTTACAAACGCTACGTCGATGACATTTTTGTCATTTTTCGATCAAAATATGAAATTCAGCATTTTTCTTGAATACGTAAACTCGCAGCATTCATCTATGAAGTTTGCCTGTAAAATTGAAGAACGGAAAACCTTATATTTTTTAATGTACTTTTCATAGTCAATATACAGAAAGAAAACTTTCACAGGTCAGCTCGCCCAGATTGATAGTTTTATTCCTGTAGGGTATAGAATCAGCCTAGAAACATGTCTACTAAAGCAAGTCTTCACGACCTGTTCAACTTGTTTTATTTTACATCCTGAGATTGTTTTTCTGCACCAAATACTTCAATTTAGTAGGTAGTTTCCCTCTCCTATTTCTATACCCGTGCATACGTACACATCAAACAATATGTAATGACGGAGAAGTTCGTACCAGCTAGTTTAATTGAGTGTTTCACTTTCTTATCATGTAAATGTAAGTGAATCGTACTATAAGAGATAACACAACCTATGTCACAACCTGGAATTTGAATGCTTACTAACAAGAGTTTGGCTTATATGTTTGGTTACATGTTATCGTGAGCTCGGTTAAAATGGGTTTCCAGTCAAAGACATTTATTTCCAATTGGTTTATATTATGCATACTCAGCGCATCCTTTCTAGAACAAATCAACGGCTTTCTGAAAAATGATGAAAATCGTAATATTCGGAATAATGTCAATATTACTTTCAATCCACCGGAACTTATACAACTGGAAGAGGGTGAAGTAAGATCCGTTCATTTGCTCTTGTATTCAAACAAAGTTCCGTACAACGAAGAAAAATATCTCGTCTCTCGTAAGAAATCTTCAAATTGTACTGAGATTAAAATAACGTATGAAGAAGAAAAAACAGGCATCATTAAAATTGTAGAAAATAAAGCAGTTAATGCTACTTTAGATTCTGAATTCTCGACCAATGATACTTTTCAAATTAAAGGCCTTTTTTTGGGCTACAGCAAAGTCTATGTAGAGATTGAATGTTTTGATGTTGTGGATCCAAATGAAAGTGGTAAGAACGAAAGCACAAATACGCAAATTACAGAAGAGTATAAAGTGAGTGTTATTCGTGCTCCGTGGGCGTTAAGAACCGTCTTCCGGGTTCTCGTCACTGTCATAGTGTGTATTAACTACATCAACATGGGATGTCATCTAGATCTCAATGTGGTGAAGACTGTGCTGAAGAAACCAGGTGGCGTAATAGTGGGGTTTATTTCTCAGTATACTGTTATGCCTTTGGTAAGTGAATAAATTTAGAAAGTAGAAAAATTCAGTAACACAATATTGCAGTGTCCCAAGAGTAAGAACAAAAGGAAAAGCAGCGTCTTTTTCATTTTAATTTCGTTTCCCTGATAATAAATAACGTTAAAGCAATTAACATTTGACTAAAAACAGAATTTTAAAAGTAGTAATTCTATACTATTTTTCCTTTTAAAATTAACTAATTTATGTAATTTCTGTATGTTGGTGTGTCGGTCTGAGGCAATGTGAAAGCCGCAATGTCCCTAAACGCGCCACACTTTCTGCTCTAGACGTTATAAGAGTGACAGTCAATCCTGTTATTCGATTCAAAACCAAATTTTATATGGCAGTGGGTGGTAGATTGCCTTCGTTCCCTCTGGTTAGTAGTTCAAAATTAGGGACAGCTAAAATAAGGACTTGGCTAGTTAGTCCATGTATGACATAACATGCCATTACCAGTTATGTTATTTCATTTTTAATTGATGAATCGTAGTTGTACGCCAAATACTTAATCGATAATCAATATATTGAGTTTTCGTTATCTTCCTTTTTCTCTTCTCCAACGTTATATGGAACGTCAGTAAAATAATGCCCGGATTCCATACACAGCAATAAAAGTAACAATAACACTGAGTAAATGTAATAAAAACTACTAACAGTACGTTCATAAAAAACAGACTGAATGAATCAGCTGCTTCTTTGTGAGGTATTTAAAAAATGTCAGCCATGAACTTACATTCAAAATAAATTTCAAACATTTAGTATTATAACTATATGATCAATCACCACACAGTTAAACTGATATACTGGTGCAGTGACCAGGTCACATTGACAAGGCTACACTGGTAGGATGACTTATTGTTTGTTCCATATTTTGAACTTTTCGCTAACCGACCTTAATTTTGAAGTAATAGAGCAGAGCTAGTGAACCTCACTCACCGCCAACTCTTGGGTTACTCTTTACCAATGAATAGTGGGATTTACCGTCACATTATAATGCTCCCATGGATGAAAGAACGAGCATATTCGGTTATGGGACTCGAACTTGCGATATGCAGATTGCTACTCGAGTGCCCCAATAAATACCGTTAGTGAATTAACTATCAAGCCCAGTTCTACTACCAACACTGATAAGCAACGTATCGATACATCAATTTATCCAAGATATAGCAAGAAACACACTGTATATTCTTAGAGCCCTCCAGGTTTGGGTAAAATTCACATTAGCGTATTACGAAGAACGTGTGTTTCTTTGTATAGGTAGTACCTGATGATATCAGACTATAATTAGTGTGAACAGTTTATTCGTCGATTTCTTGGTATATTTTGCACAAAATTATGAAATCATGTCAATATCCCCTGCTTTGGAGTCTCAGTAGTAGTCACGGCTGGTTGGAAGCTACTCAGGCCGATTATTAAAAGGATCCATCAAGCCTACAATAAAAAATGCTTTTGTTTTAAGTCTAAGCACCATCACCAGGTTCTTACATTTTGCTACATTACTTTTAGATGCTTCAGATTTTAATAAAGAATATGATTAAGAAAATCTTATTTTGATAAAACTTAAACCTTACGAAAACTATTTATTTTGCTGGATATCGGCATTCATATTTCTTGTGTCTAGGTTGCAAGAAACAACAAAACAATTTTATTCCAATTTCTCCTTACTGTAGTAAAAACAGTTTGAAGAGAAAAGTATTACTCTGGTATCAATAGCATAAATATTTCTCTACCGAGCCGGACTTTGCTCAGAATTTATGTGTCGGCCTGTGTATTGAAAGTTCTGACATGTGCTGCTATGAGCGCGCTATAAAAGTCACATTCAGTCCTATTATTCAGTGATTATGACCTCGTAGCCAGATAATATCATAATGGCAGCAGGTGCTATTGGTTGATCAGTAGGTTAAAATTATGGACGGCTGTACTTGAACCCTAGAGGTTCTTAATCTGGTCATTTAGTCTACGTGCGCATATGGTGATGCTCAGATTGAAAATTTCAACTCTTTTCATAACCTTTGTCGATTATTTATCAAGGCAGGAAACCCCTACAGTTAAAATGACACACAATACTTTTAAAAAATGCGCTCACTAATAAGATTTTGTTACTTGGTTCTCAGAAAAGTTCTTAGAAATATGACAGTCGATCACTAGGGGCTATCCCCGTCACACCAAACATGCTCACCCTTTCAGCCGTGGGGGCGTTATAAAGTCACGGTCAATCCCACTATTCGTTGGTAAAAGAGTAGCCCAAGAGTTGGCGGTGGGTGGTGATGACTAGCTGCCTTCCCTCTAGTCTTACACTGCTGAATTAGGGACGGCTAGCGCACATAGCCCTCGTGTAGCTTTGCGCAAAATTCATAACAATCAAACAAACTATTGGGTCTATTATTATTGTTTGTTTTTTAATTATGCACAAAGCTACACAAGGGCTATCTGTGCTCTGCCCACCACGGGTATCGAAACCCGGTTTCTAGCGATGTAAGTTCGCAGACATACCGCTGTGCCACTGGGGGGTATCTATTATTATATATTTTCTTATTCCTTTGCACAAATAAATTATTTGTTTGCTTGCAGTTACAAGTTCTATAAAATATTTTTTTATTCTATATGTCTCGGATGATTTGTAGTTTTTCGTTTTATAATATAATATTCTTTTATGCTTCCTGAAAATGGAAATTTGACCATTTTCCTTTTTGTTCAAATATTTAAAAAAGTAAAATGTGTTTAATAATTTTAATTTACAAATCGCAATAAATATAGCTCTGAGGTTATCGATTTTACGACATATATTGATTTTTTTTTTTTACAATAAGAAAATACAAACTGCAGAATAACAAATAAATCATTAAACTCAAGTAAAGCCAGTCACAATTTTATAAACACTTCTTTCTTTGTTGAATTTCACGCAACTTTGGCAACTGTTTACCAAAGAATAACGGGATTGACTGTGACTTATAACGCCCCCACGGCTGAAAGAGCGAACATAGTCAGTGACGGCATTTGAACACGCTGCCCGCAGATTGTGAACCGAGTGCCCTAACAACCAAGCCATGTCACGCTAAAATATATTGCGACTACGTTTGTTTGTTTTTAAGCTCAAAGCTTAACAATGGTCTACCTGCAGTGTGCCCAACGCAAGTACTGAAACCTATTTTTTAGTGTTATTAGACCTCAGACTTACCGGAGGGCAAGATTATTGTTTGAACGCAAAACTACATAATGGGCTATCTGCACTATGTTCACAACAGGGAATCGAACTCTGAATTTTAGCGTTGTAAGTCCTTAAACTTACTATTGACCAACCGGGAAGCTATGTATTTTGTTTTGTTGTAGCTCAATGCCACACATCGGGCTGTCTAACCACCGCAGGAATTCGAACCCCGGATTTTAGTGTTGTAACTCCGTAAAGTTACCGCTGACTCACCGGGAAACTTTGTAAAGATTAATACTATTATCTCAACTCTTTGGACAAAACATTTCAGAGATTACAAAACCATGACCTCATATTTTCCGTCTTATGTTTGATTAGGCTTATAAGGTTCATTTTCACGTGACAGCGGTTTATTTATACATGGTTTCTCATTATAATTTGTTGTGGAAAGAGTAACATAATTTTGATACACAAACTATCGACCTACCATTTTTTTTAACGAAATCATACAGTTTAGTGATAGGTTATTATATACCTTTCAAGTTAACACTAATATTTTGATTTTCCCAAGGGTTTTACAAAAGCATAAAACTGTAGTTTCTATAATTGCTTTTTAAAATAGCTGCAAGTTTATCTTACATGACTATTCGAATGTTTTTACTGGAAAATTGGAAACCTTAAACTTAAAACTGTGCCATGAACTACCTAGCATAAATATTCTTTTTACACAGATCATAACTGTTAAGATACGTCATTTTATATAGATAAACACATATGATATTGTATTTGATTTCAGTGTTCCTATGCATATGGTTACCTTTTGTTAAAGGAAGCTAATTTCCGCTTTGGAGTGTTCATTCTTGGGTGTTCACCTGGAGGTACTTCAAGCAACTTTTGGACATTACTTCTAGATGGAGATATCAACCTCAGTATCACTATGACATTTTTTAGCAGCATTGCTGCTCTTGGTAAGCATATTATTAAAATTTAGATAAGCTTAAAATGACAATAGAAACCCCATTATTATATGCAGTTTGTCATAAACAAAGAAAAAAAATGAAACGATTTAAACATTATTTGTGTTATCTAATTTATAATAATAAGTACATAGCTTTCTGAAAACATGAATATATTCTACCGCAAGAAAAAAGTGTTGGGCCACACATTATTTCTAATAATATATTTTCTCGAAATTAAATTAAAACAATTTCACCGTACACTTAGATATTGTTACGACAGCGGAAGTCACCTGACGCTGGTAACACGTCATGAGATTCTCCAAGGATCTTGACTTTTCCTGGAGACTCTAGTCTTTTCCAGGCGCCCTCAATTTTAGTATATAAGCCCGGCAAACAATTGCAGATAGACAGATATAGAGACAGATAATTGAGTC